GCGTTCACACAACAGGGAAAGGCAGGATGTAGTGGCATATGCCACCTGCAAGCAGAAGCCGCTCTCTGGTTTTTTTTTTATTGTGCTGTGTGAACCTAAGTGCGGCTGTTGCTTTGGTTTGTTTTTCTCCAAACTGGAGATGAAATCTATAGTTTGTTTAGGCTGTCTTCTCGATTTGTCTCTTGTTGGGATTTTTTTTTTTTTTTTTTGGTGGGGGGTGAGAGAGAAACAAACCAAAGTGACAGCAGTGTCGGGGTTCACACAAGATGGAGCAAAGTTGCATGCCTCTCAGTTGGGAAGTAGGCAGTAGCATGTTTCCTCGGACTGATAAGCTACGATTCCTGCAGTCCCGAATTATTTTATCGTGCCTATTAGGCCTGTTTGTGGAGAAATAACTTGTAGTGGTGAAGAATACTGTATTTTTCCGTGTATAAGACTATACTTTTGTCTAAAATCTTTAGACTAAAAATTGAGGGTCGTCTCATACACGGAAGTAAGCTGAGGAGAGAACAAAGACAAGTGGAGGGGAAAGCAGGGATCAAAGCAATCCTGCAGTGCTTTGATCCTTTCCCCCCTACACTTGCGAAGCCACCACTTAGATTTCTTAATTTGGGGTTAGAAAAGTGGGGGGTGTATTATACATGGGGGTATCTTATACACGGAAAAATACAGTAATTTTCAGGTGGCCGTGCGGGAAGAGCAGGCTGACCAAAAGTGGTTGGCTAGTAGTGGCTCTTAGTCATGATGGATAATATATTTCTTTTGCTACCAGAGGTAGTCCACCTTTATAGATCTGTTGCTTGGGAGCGTGAGTAAAGGGCCCTTTGCACTGTTTTCCTCATTGCGGGTTTCCCATTGGTAACGGAGAGCAGAATGCTGGACTGGATCAGGCCTTTGATCTCATCCACCACAACTATTTAAGGGGAAGAAGTAATAAAGGAAAGAATTTTTTCCTTTTAGCCTTCACTTTAGCTATTGTATGAATAAGTGGGTGGATGGCAGGGTGGATAAATGTTTTTTTTTAATAAAAGAAATCCATTTAAATCATGATTTAAATTTTAAAAGTGGATTTTTTAAATTTCAACCATCAAAAAAAATCTGTTTTATTTAAATTGATTTGGTTTGAACCTAATCTACTCTTGTGGATGGGCTACTAGACGTTTTCATTTGGTAGTTATTTGTGTGGATTGTTTTGAAAGGATGGATGTTTAGAGAAGATGAGCAGGAAGAACTGATGATGGAATTGTGTAGACCATTTCCTCTTTGAGTAAGATGATGATTCCATTATACACACACTTACTTTCCCCGGTTTTTCTGGTTCCATGTAGGACATTGGGCTTGTTGTTGCCATGCCAGTTGTTGCTGTGTGTAGAGTTTTGCTAGTCCATTTGCTGCTTGGCCCGAGAAAAAGCACCCGGCTTTTCTCACTTTCTTACATTCTCATCAGCCGGCGGATGAGAATTATCCTGGACATATCTTTATATCTACTAACCGAAACAGTAGAAGGGGTACAAGCTTTGTGTGTTTGCCAGGCAAGAAACTGGAATGTTGCATGTCCAGTCACTCAGGACAAAGTCCACACATTGAAAATGCTTTGCTTATGTCATGTTCTTTTTTTTCTTTTATCTTGTTGACATAACTGAGGGATTAACTCTGTGCGAGTCTTAGAAGTTCAAGCGTTAGGGTTAATAATTGGTAAAGTTTGAACAGGTGATCATCTAGGAGAGTTCACTCAGCAAATTCTTTTATATTTAGACAGGGCAAGTCGACTGTATTAATATTCTGTTGAAGAGTTAATTAAAGACTACCTCCTCCTGTCTCACGAAATCCAGGGGCTTCCAAGCAGGAAAAAGGATTGCAGGGGAGTTGGAAAAAAAATAGTGGAACAGGACTAGGACATTTTCAATTAGTGAAAATAGTTTGCGACTGCTGATGATGCCACCACCCTTGCACAGACTTTGTGCCATGATGTGCTAAGGAGCTGTGGTTATTATTTAATCCTTGTGATGTACGCTGGAATCCATTTATAGTTCCTTAGTAAGACTGTGGCTATGTACGCTGGAATCCATTTATAGTTCCTTTCCGGTGTCTTTGTGAAAACCTTAGTAAGACTGTGGCTTTGCCAGTACAGTGCTATCCTAAGGCTTCCTTTGTGTTTTAACCTCAGCCACGAGTGTACTATTTCGCCTTCTTGTGAGAGTTGATTTCCTTCTTTACTAGGTAAGAAGAAGCAGAATACTCCTGTTACCTGTGGGGGTTTCGGTGGGTCAGTATTGTGCCCCGTGCGTCGGCGCTGTTGGAGCCAGCAGTTCACTTTGTCCCTTGGCGTATGTCTAGATTTTACGATGAAAAGAAATGCGAAATGAAATGAAAGGCGACTCCTTCCTGTGTTTGTCATGGCACTTAACTTATTAGCACTGAATACAACCGCAAATGTGCATGCAGGAGGAGAACATGTATGATTCAGCAAATGGTAAAAGTACTGTAATTTGAAATGGTTCAAAAAAGAGAGAGAGAGAGAGTAGGCAGCATGCTTGTATTGTGTTGAAAAATTTTAAATTAGCGCAACTATTTGGTGTGGCTAGAAGCAGAATGCACGCCGCTGTTCTCTTGTCTGCGCTGCCTCACCGATCTACTCTTTGCTTAGACCTTTTGGTTGAAAAATTTTAAATTAGCGCAACTATTCGGTGTGGCTAGAAGCAGAATGCACGCCACTGTTCTCTTGTCTGCGCTGCCTCACCGACCTACTCTTTGCTTAGACCTTTTGTTTTAGACTTTGAAGCTGCCTTGCCTAAAAAAGGATAGTAGCTGTTACTGAATAAACATTTTCGTAATTGGTGTACACGGGAGTATCTGCTTTGTGATTCATATGTCGGTGATGACACAACGAGCAAGTTTGAGCCTGCTGCCATATTTAGACAGACTCTTCACCTTACTCTCCTGCAGACAGGTGTGGATTGCTTTTCATCACGAAGGGTCAGGTCTGGGTTTCTGACACGGCATCATCAGCTTCCATTTCTGAGCTGGAGATAAAGTCTTGGCTGTTTGAAACCTGATACCTGAGTGGTTAAGTTCTAAATAGGTCTCATCTACAAAAATGTTGGTGTGATACTCGAGTAATTATTGCATGACTGATGCAGAACAATTGTATCTCCAAAGATCTTATTTACAGTCCTTTTATACCCCTTTTCCACTCAAATCTTTGGTAGAGGAAGAGAGAGAAGTGAAATATGAGTTAAAATTGCATGGTATGCTGGCTGATTCATTGTAGTTTTTCACTGTTTATGTGTACTCCCTGCATTTAGCACAATATTTACTCTGCTGAATGCAGTATATGACCTGTAAGGCTGGATAATTTACAGTTCAACTAGTGAAAACAAACAGAAGCCTTGTTGCAAACTAGGGTACTGCCAATGGCTGCTGAGCCCTCCCTTTGACTTGATCTGTCACAAGCTGTTCAGAGCTATGTCGGTCCTTTGAAACCCAGATACATTTTGGTTGGCCTTCCATAATCCGTGAAAATTCACTTACCCAATTAGAACCATTCTTTATTGGTTGTTTCCCCTTTTCTTGCTTCTTTCTCTCCGTGTGTCAAGATGTTAAGCACCCATTTTCATGCCTCATAATATATTAACTTGAAAACAGGAGATAATGAAATTTGGGGAATTTGGACAACAAGTTCATGAACAACTATTTCAATGTGAAAAAATGTGCCCTTTTAGCATAACTTTGGTAGATGATAATGAAATGAACCAAGCTTGAAGTTGTGCAAAACCCGCCGTTGATACTGGAGTCTCCTAGTGAGTATATATGTCAAAAGGAGCTGCTAATCAATGCATTCCAGTCCATAGCCTTGCATTTTTTTCTCCCTTAGGGTGCTGTAGCTGATCTGAACATTTTGTCTACCTGCTTATTTGAGAAACGATTTAGAGAAATGACAATGATAATATTCCAGAGTTAAGAAACCCCTTGTCTCTTTTTATAATTGCAAAATTGCTGGGCTTAACAAGCATCCTGTCCCAGACATCTTTGTCAATGTTGAAGCAGTAAATCTGTCAGCAGGCTGAAAATAAGTTTTCAATTGGATTGCAAGTTGAAAAATTAACATAAGCCTATGCAGTAATCATCAGTCTGGCAGGAAAAAGGGATCAGTTGAACGGCTTTGCAAACGTATGTTCATGCTAAGTATAACACCGGTTTGTTTATTAAAAAAACAAACTTCTAGACGAAACACATTGAGGAGTAACTGACATTTTATAATTTGTTTAGCCATTAGGACTAGAAATATTTCCTGACTTTAAAAGTTTCTTTGCTACTGTAACAACTGTAAAATAATAATATCAGCCTCCGTACATAGTGATAATTGCAATGCCGCCTACTGTTGTAATTGAAAATACTGGGAATATATGTTGACTTAACACATTTGACGCCATTTTGGCCACAATTGGTATTACGGAACACCTTCAGGACTGCCATATATTGCAGTCCTTTAACTCCTCAGAAGAGGCTTTCTGGTCTGAGAAACAAGGTAAGTAATGAGCACGGAGTTAATTTGGGGGGTCTCCTGATTGCCCCAGGTGAAAGGGGGGTACAGGTGCAAGAATATAGCCAGCACTGCCTCATGTCTGCAAATGGCCAAGCAAGGTGTGTAATGCTGAGAAGACAGTTCTGATAGTCTGGCAAGAAACAGGAGGCTTTGACAGCAAAAGTTAGAAAGACATTGCCTGTGGGATGAGGTAGCTGTTTTTGGAAAACAAACCAACCAACCACGTTTAATTGGGCCGTATATGAAAGATTAAAGCTTCACATGCCAGTAAATACATTAGTGATTTGTGTAAACAACAAAACGGGTAGTGTGCTTTAGGGAAAATATGAAATTTGAATTCACTTCTTTTCCCAGAAAGATGGTGATTCGATCAGCCTCCTAGAGTGAGGTTACCGATAAATTCACATTTTGGTAAGCTGTACGTATATAAGTTGTTTCCTCTCTTCATTTTTAGGAACCGTTTCGCTTCACTGGGAGTCAAGGAGCTGCCGTTCTGTTGATGTAAATACACCCGATATCGGAGGCCATGGCTCAGTCTGCGGGAGAGGAGCCAGGCTCCAAAGTCAGAGAACTCTGCGGCGAATGCGGCCAGTTCCACTCATTGCCAGATAATCATCTTTATAACTTCCAGGATGAAGTGGACGATGATCTGACCTGCCACATTTGCCTTCAGCCTTTGCTCCAGCCGATGGACACCCCTTGTGGACATACGTACTGTTTCAAGTGCCTTGAAAATTTCATGAGGGAGTACAGCTTCTGCCCCATGGACCGGAAAAAACTGTCTTTCCAGCATTGCCGGAAATCCAGCCTTTTAGTGAGGAACCTCCTGGATAAGCTGATTGTTCTTTGCCCCTTTCAAGATGACTGTAAGGAGACGATGCAGCGGTGCGAGCTGGAGGCTCATTTGCAAAACAGGTGAATATTTGTTGATGAAATGACAGGAGATACGCTTTCACCTTATCTTTGACGGCCCCTTCCTCAGCTTCTGCACATAACAAGTACAGTTTTGGTCTGAGAATGTTACATGTTAGCATTGGAAAGGAACGGAGCTCCTTCCTGGTTTAGGATTCCATTGAAATTTCACCTCTTTGGTTTTCCGTTTGTAATCTTCGTGTCAAAGTGGTGCTGTTTTGTGACTCACTTACATAAATATAATTCCAAAGGCTGTTTGCTGATTCAAATGAGAGCAAACCCATTGAACCACTGGGATTTACATAAGTGGTGATGAGTTGGCATCCAGGGGTTGATCCGGTGTGTCTGCCTTAGTTGGGACTATGAATTTGAATTTGGCCTCGGTGTGCATGTAAGTGGGGTAGCGCAATCTTGGAGGAATAAGAAGACCTGTTCATTGTAGGACAAAGCACCAGACTGTTTGCAGGTGTTTAATGAATTAGACGGGGAGAGAGAACTTTTCGTGGCAGGAGGCCCGGAATCATGGATTAGGCATTGATCCCAGAACTGTTACTGCTTTCGTTGTGAAATAAAAGTGGCCAGGTTAAACAGGCATGTTCAAAGGGATGCCTAGAACCATTTGAACGTTGATACTCCGCAGTCATAGTTCTGTATGGCAAAAGATATGTGAGCATTTTGATAGAACCTTGATACTACCTCTTTTTTTAGGTGGTACAAAGTTCATTGCATAGGATGAAAACTATTGTAGTAAGCAGACGTATACAGGGGTGGTGGTGCCGCCACCACCAAGTAATGTCTGATTTATGGCACATCTATATTTAAATCCGTTTCCTTTTTCTTCCCCACTTGCGTATCTTAAATCTTTATTTGCTAGCTTACTTTCAGGATTGCCCTGCCTTTCTCCTCGCAGAGACAGAATCGGTGGTTTTAAATTTCCACCCTTTAAATCACACTGCCCTGGCAGCACATGTGGCTTGTATTGTGAGCGGTTGTGATGGAAACATGCTATTGAAACATGCTATTGTTCCTTGGTCAAGAATAGATTGCCTTTGAAGTGTACTTACACAGATGTACTGTATTATATAATCTGTATACTAGTGTAAGTTATCTGTCTTCATAATAGCCATCAAGGGCCATCAGGTCAGTTCTGACTTTTGATCACCCTTTTCAGGCTTTCCTTGGTAGAGGATACTCAGAAATGGTTTCTCATTCCTTTCTTCTGGTGGCATTTCTGGGGACGGTGCAGCTTGCCACCCAGGCTGGCTCTTCTCCCAGAAGGCACAAGTGGGGAATTGAACTCTTTAACTTCTGCTCCACAGCCAGATACTTAACTCATTGAGTTATCCAACCAGCTAAGTAATCTATATTATTAGGTACTAAACATATCTTGACTTTAATACAAATGAGAGAGCAACCTTAGTTTCTTGTTGATGGGTCTAAGCAAAAAACATTCAGTAAATCACACTGAAGATGCAGCCAGCAGGTTGATGCTGTTGGTCAACCAGAAGGAAAAATGACTCAATGGCAGCTGTGCTGGGAAAATAGTCACTTTTTAAAAACGTTTGAGCGATATTTCCAAAAAAAAGCCCTGTGCGAATACAGTATACCAATTCAGAGGAGTCATACTCTCCTATTCCATTGTAAATATTGATGATAATATTACACAAACATAGAGGATTTTTGAATTCATTTATGGATTTAAAAGAGATAAACACATGGCCGATTAAAATGACAACCGCACCAAACAATGCATAACGTGTCAAAACAGCATTACCGATCCAATTCAAAGGTAAAACAAAAGTTTAGACTCTCTGATTTACTTTCTCCTTCTTGACAAAATGTAAATACTGTGGTGCCCCACATAGTGACAGTTTTTCCGGTACGGATTATCGCATAGCGATGATAATCCGTTCCGGAAAAACTGTCGCTATACTGATTCGTCGCTATGCGGAACAAAAAAGCCCATAGGAATGCATTAAAACACGTTTAATGCATTCCTATGGGCAAAAAACTCACTGTTATGCGAAAATCCTCCATTTTCGCTGCCCAGTAAGCAAGGAAAGGGTGCAAAAACCCTGCAGGCGGCCATTTTTTACCCGGCGGCCATTTTGGAACCGCCAATCAGCTGTTAGAAAAAACATCGCTATGCGAAAATCGGTAAGCGAAACAGCTTGCCGATCGTTGCAAAGCGATGTTTTACCATTTTAAACGTCGCAATGCGATCGTTTTTGCGATTGCAAAAAAGCCATCGCTATGCAGATTCTTCATTAAACGGGGCGCCCGTTATGCGGGGCACCACTGTAATCTTTTAGTCAACTAAGACAATATTAGGGACATGGTGGCGCTGTGGGTTAAACCGCAGAAGCCGCTGTGCTGCAAGGTCAGAAGACCAGCTGTCGTGAGATCGAATCCATGCGACGGAGTGAGCTCCTGCCAACCTAGCCGTTCAAAAGCATGGAAACATGCAAAAATGCGGGTAGATAAATAGGGACCACCTCGGTGGGAAGGTCACGGCATTCTCTGTCTAGTCGCACTGGCCACGTGACCACAGAAACTGTCTACAGATGAACGCTGGCTCTACGGCTTGGAGACAGGGATGAGCACCGTGCCCTAGAGTGGGACACGACTGGACTAAATGTCAAGGGGAACCGTTGACTAAGACCATGTTAGCTATTCTTACTTCTTCCAAGCGGCATATCCACTAGTTGTTGTTTTGAAAAATAGCTCCTCAGTTCGGAGTTTAGAAGACTAGACCCTTTGAGTATGGGTAGTCCTCCTCAGAGCTGTTGTTTCTCCATGAGCCACTCACATTGTTGTCTCCTATTAGGCTAAATTCATATTTGCACAGGACTTGTTTTCTAGGTCCTATTATGACCCTTTTAAAATGTCTTATTGCATATTAATCTTAGAAGAAACTGAAACCCAACAGATTCAGGAGGGAACCAGAATCTCTCTCGAGGAAAGAAACTTGGGAGTTCATCCAGATAGGAGGAGCTGGCAGAAAGCCGTTCATGGAGAGAAGCAGTCGTTGACTGCAACCTTGTGGATATTTAATTAAAATAAGAACATGCTTCCAGTTTGTTCTTGCGATATTTTCTTTTGTGAAAAGGAACTTAATTGCCCTGATGGCTTCCATTGATAGCCGTGTTTGTGTTGGTGGTTTTGGGACAGTCCTGGCGACAGACAGAGGAAGAAAAGCAAAGCAAAGTTCGTTGTTAAGATGAATGGAATTTCGTGCCATCCGAGTGGTACCAACAAGCTGTGTCTCTCTTCCCACCAAATTGTGGAGCTCCGATGCTTCTTTTAGCTGTCAACTGGAGCTCTTGTTTCTTCTCTGTCTATCTCAGAGAGACCTTAAGAGGTGGTAAAGCATCCTTGAGCTGAACGAAGTCGATATCACTGAAACTGTAGATATAATTTACATATTCTTTCTTAGAGCAGAATGCACGTTCACACATTCATTATAGATATGACACCTCTTGAATTCTACCTGTCAGAGCACCTTCTTCCACCTAGTTCTACCCGTGTCACTCGTTCTAGCCAGGCTGAGGGGGCTTAACTCTGAGAGAGGTCCAGAAGGAAAAAACTAGAAACCGGGCCTTCTCGGTGGTGGCCCCTTGGCCTTTGGAACATCCTTCCCCCTGAGATCTGCCTGGCTCCCTCGCTGGGAAAGTTTAAGAATAAACTGAAGACCTGGCTCTTCAGGCAGGCCTTTCCTCCTGACATTACTTAATTTCTTCCCCTGGTTTTTCCATCTTGGGTTATGTTTGCTTGTTTTAGTTTTTTTTCATTGATGTTTTTAATTTTATTGGTTTTTTGGACTATAAACCACGCTGAGTAGATTCATCTACACTAGTGGTCCCCAACCTTTTTGGGACAGCAGACCGGCAGAACCTCTAAGGAAGGTGGGGCAGCCCCCCGCGCTCGTGCTATTTTCTTCCCCTGGTTTTTCCATCTTGGGTTATGTTTGCTTGTTTTAGTTTTTTTTCATTGATGTTTTTAATTTTATTGGTTTTTTGGACTATAAACCACGCTGAGTAGATTCATCTACACTAGTGGTCCCCAACCTTTTTGGGACAGCAGACCGGCAGAACCTCTAAGGAAGGTGGGGCAGCCCCCCACGCTCGCGCTGTTTCTTGGGCACATGCATGAAGTAGCGGGCGAGCGCCCGCATGCCCGCCAGCACCAGTGTGAGTGCTCCCCCACCCCTTTGCACATGCGCGAGAGTGCCTGCATGCCCGCCCACCCCTTTGCGTGGGCACTCAGGCGCATGAAGGGGTACAGGAGCACTCGTGCAGGCGCTGGCACGTGTGCGCATGCACAAAGCAGCTGTGGGGAGGGGAGTGCATGCAGGGGGGGCGGGAGGTCTGTCCACAGCCTGGCCTGGCTCAGGCCATTGGACCGGCACTGGGCCGCGGACCGGGGGTTGATGACCTCTGATCTAGATGGGCGGTATAAAGGCCAAATAAATACATTAAATAAAGGCCTAGGTTAGTCATGGGCTTATTGCACACATCTTATTGTTGAATTCTACGCAAGTCCAATTATTTCCATGTGCATTAAAAGAGCTGTATATTGGAAATGGCAATTAGCAAATAATTTAATAAGAGTTTTGCCTTTCTGTTTCGTGTTCCTCCTCCCCATTTAGCAAACAGATTGCTCTCGTTCACCATGCGATCTGCATTATGCATGAGAAAATGAAAGAGAGGCATCCCTCCTCTGCTCCAGGCCAGCTGCGGAAGCCGAATGAATGGCTGAGAGAACTCGGGAGCACCCCATTTTCTTGGTGTGCATCTAATCTGCTGTATCATAAGAGCTGCATGCCTCTCCCTTCAAACTTTCCCCCTGTCTTCTCCTACAGGTGTCCCGGCTTCAAAAAGTACAAAGCTCAGATAGAGCGGAAAAAGAATCCTTGCCCCAGTTCGAAGCCCGATTCTCTTTCAAGACCGGAAGCAAACTCGGTGAAAGAACCGGGAGGGTGCAGCAGCGTGCCGCCCGTGGTGTCTGGCAGCTCCGTTGCTGCCGTTGTCTCGCTGGAGACCCCGGAACCTGGGATGGTTAATCCAGCCTTTGATGGGAGTGAAGAAGGTGAGCAGTGTTTTTTCCTGTCTGAATTCTGCACCCAGAGAAAGCAAAGCGGGCCTTTGTTAGACCTCCCTGACAGAAAGCAGGCTGTTTTGCAGGAATCACTCCAAATTTCCCTCCCAAGAGCACGTTTGGCTGATTAAAAAAAGAAAGGGTTTTGTCACAGGGTTCTGTTGGGCCTGTGGTTCTCTGAGTCCACCGAATATTCTGTTGGGTATAGTAGACAATTTTGTAAGAACCTTGCTTTTTTATTGTCTTTTTAAAAAAACAAACAAACATGTTTTTCATCCTTGTATCTATAAATTGTGCTTTGATCATGTTGGGGAAAAAAGGCAAAGAGTAGTGTCAGTTAGATTTCTAATGGCTGGAGAGGCGCTTTCAGTGCTTTGCATTGCTTTTAGTTCCATCTCGCGAATAAGGAGGCCAGAATAAATTATGTAAAATAAAAGACAGTCAGAGATGCTTAGTTTGCAGAGTTCCTGGGGACTGCATAATTTAATAATCCTTAATTTCTTGAATGCAGCATTTTCAGTTTACAGGGAATATAGAATGCAAACAGCTCTCTGCTTATTGTTAATATACTGTATTAATTTCTCTTCATAATAAGCACAGTTCCCCGCACTGTATTTGTACAATTTATATACACGGATGAAGCAAGAAGATAAAGCTGTGCTTTCTGAGATGCCTGACTTTGTACCTGTTGCTGCAGCGGCAATCAAAAATTGCAAGGGATGAAGAAAAATATGACAAACAAGTGGGGAACTTTGAGTTTTGTTTCACATGCGGAAGTGTAGAGTAGCAAGAGGTGGCGGTCGCTAAAGGATTCAAGAACTAACAACTTGAACTGCCTTCATGTGTGTCTCCTCTCCACTTTCTTGCCATCAGATTTACCCCAAAGGGCTAGCCTTGTAGCAGAGACGAATGCCATTGAAATTCACCGAGAAGACCCCGAGGAGGAACTTGGAATGCGAATAGTTGGGGGGAAAGACACACCGCTTGGCAACGTCGTTGTCCAGGAAGTTCTTCCCGATTCAGTGGTTGCTGTGGATGGAAGAATTGCACCGGGAGACCATATCCTGGAGGTAGGTTTGCAATACTGAGAAGGCTCGGCATGCCGTTCTAGGTTACTTACCTGTCCATTGAAGCGTCAGTGATCGGTTTGTTGATTTTGAGCTTCAACGGAGGCCATCCAAGACAAGGGGCGTAGACAGGAAGCTATGTGAAGAATGTGTGTAGAATGAACAAGCCTGTACCTTTAGATTTATATTGCGCTTGTATCATTGTCGCAGTTCATTAACAAACGGATGTCATTGTTAGCATCCTTTTTTGTGCTTTTGTGCTAAATGTGGAGGAGGGAAACAAGGATGCACTGCAGTATGTATTGTGATCTGATTTTGTTTTAACCTTGACAAGAGCCCCCTGTGACCTTCCTCGACCATGCTGTCTTTCTGTCTTCTGTGGTTGGAATGCACTGTGGCAACTGACCCAATCTGTATTCTTTCCTAATGCCACAGGTCTCAATACTTGTTATTTGGCTTTTCATTGAACTGCAAGTCACAGCAGATTCTTGAAGAAGAAAACTGTTCCTGTCTGTCTTCTGCCTTCGGTTGAGAAGGGTAACACATGTGCCGAACCGTATTCTGATCCACGTGTTGTTTTTGTCCTCTTCCAAGGTAAACGGACTCAACGTAAGCAGTGTGACGCACTGCCAAGCTCTTTCCTTACTGCGCCAGCCCTGCGCTGTCCTCCACCTCATTGTGCTCCAAGAGAAGGGATTTGTCACCAAGACGGGGCAACCGGATTCCAGTCCTACAATAAACCAGCGAGTGATCCATGTTACTCTTGTAAAGAGAGACCGGTCTGAACCTCTCGGCATCAAACTGATCAGGAAGACAGACGAGCCAGGGATTTTTGTTTTGGATTTGTTAGATGGAGGCTTGGCAGCCAAAAACGGGAAGCTCTGTCAGAATGATAAAGTCCTTTCTATAAATGGCCAGGATCTACGCCAGGGAACACCTGAAGCAGCAGCACACATAATTCAGGTAACTTTATGGCGGGGAGCAACCAAGGGATCTGCAAACTCCTTTGGTTCCACTCCACGGTGGGATAAAATGCTTCAGAGATTAGTGAAATCCAGCAGCTCAGATCCAAAACTGAAGGAAAAAAGAATTTGAAGGTAAAAAACAACAACACAACACTAACTCTACTGATACGATCGTGCTTATTGCTCTGATAAATAGGTGCATTTCTGTATTGTGTACCTTTTGAGATTGATGTTGGCATGAGGCTTCATGCATCACCATCTCCTTTTTTCAGGTGATTTGGAGGGGAAAGAGCTTTGAAGATGCTTAGGAATTTGGAGGCATCCTTTAAAACTGGCCCCAAGACGTTGACCAGTAACAAGGGTAGCTTCGGCTGGTGCCTTGGAACTTTCCCAGGGGATCCACTCTGGGGGCTTTGAAACTCCGATGACCTAATCTGGGTTTTAAAGTGTCCTGTCTGAAAATTCCCCTTTCTTCTTTTGGGCTTTTTTTCCTGCAGACCAGCGAAGCCAGAGTCAACTTTGTGGTTCTCCGCCAGTCTGGTGGGCAGCTCACGGATGCTGTTGAAGACGGTGGCGCCTTAAGCACGAGCAACAGCAACAGCAGTAGTAGCAGCAGCAGCAGCGGAGGGGGAAGCCCCGTGCACCGTCGCAGGAGACCGGAGCAGATTCACTATCGGCGAAAATCCAGCTATCAGAAGGTAGACCTTGCGATCACATTCTCGTTTGAGGTTTGATGTTGGCTTACTTTCTTTTCCATTTGAGTATGCAATGCTCTGCCAGCATTGTACTAGATTTTGGCAGCTACCTGTAGATGCCCATTTTCATCTCTAAAAGAACTGTACTTGCTGATTGCGAGACTACCTCGTGTTGAAAGTGGGAAATGGACAGCTCGTCATTCAAATGACCATCTTTGGGAGATTGTTCTTTACTGAAGCTGCCATATAGGGCAAGAAAACGCTTGTCTCTTGTAACTTTCAATTTCTCAGGTAGTTTATTGCTCTTCTTAAGTGGCTTGTGCATGTCTTTGGGAGATTGTTCTTTACTGAAGCTGGCATATAGGGGAAGAAAACTTTTGTCTCTTGTAGGCTTCGTAGGAGTTACATACATGATGTCGTGATTTATTCAGTTATTTGTGCATGATATGCGTGCGCGCGCGCACACACACACACACACACACACACACACGTGTATTAACTGTGATGTTTGTCTCCCTCTCATAACTTCACAGAGCTGGGTAAGGAACCCTTGATGCATAATTTGAAAATTGGGAGGTTTTTATGAGTGTGTTGCATTAACCGGCCTTTGTGTTTATAAGACGTTGCTGCCACCAGGGCCATTATGAACTGAAGGCTTCGTAGGAGTTACATACACAATGCCGTGATTTATTCAGTTACTATTATCTTAGAATTTTTGAAGTCGCTTTCCAGGCCTATGGAAGGTTTCTTTCAGCAGCTGTCAGATTAAAAATGCAAGAAAAACAAACATAATCATAAAAATGGCAGCAGTGATTTAAGACCGATGAATATCAGGAAAGTGTTAAGTTTTTGTCACTTTATTAGAGTGGGGAGCAACCCATCATTATGGGGAAAGATGTTCAGAATCTGGATGCTGTTACTGGCTGTTACACCTACCCCATTTCGTTGATTTAGCCTTCTCGCACCTGCTGAGCATGCTCAGGCTTTGTTCACCTGTTTTGGGCTCCCATCTCTGGTTGGTGCTTTTTCTTGTATTCTTCATCCCTTCAGGCTTTTTTCTTTCTAACCTGAGGATCTGCCCACCTTGTGCATCAGCTAAGTCAACGAAATAAGGGCCCACACCTGGCAAATGCTATTATTTTGCAAGGTGGCAGCTTCCAATGGATAATATGAGCACTTCTTCTCTGTGTTCCATTTGAAACATTCTCCTGTAATCTTTTTTTTAAAAAAGGTGTCTGTCTCCCCACTGATTGTGTCTGGCAGCTTTCAGAATTTCCAGTGGGATTAATTCTAACATTGTAAAAAAAAAAAATTACAGTCTCTGACTATTTCCACATTGACTTGTGCATCAGCTAAGTTGACGAAATAAGGGCCCACAACTGGCAAATGCTATTATTTTGCAAGGTGACAGCTTCCAATGGATAATATCAGCACTTCTTCTCTGTGTTCCATTTGAAACATTCTCCTGTAATCTTTTTTTAAAAAAAGGTGTCTGTCTCCCCACTGAATGTGTCTGGCAGCTTTCAGAATTTCCGGTGGGATTCATTCTAACATTGAAAAAAATTTTTTACGGTCTCTGAATATTTCCACATTGGTTGGTTATGTTGTCCTGGCCAGAAAGAGGTAAAACGTACCATATGAAGGTTGGTAGTTCTGCTTTGTTAGCAGCAAACACATGATTGACCTACAGGATTTTTTTCCCCCTGTCCTCCACATCAGGCACTCCCTCAAGGATACCTCAGCCAGGAGAAGATCGTCACCATTAAAAAAGAGCCAAAAGAGTCCCTGGGAATAACGATAGGAGGTGGAAGGGATGTTAAAAATAAACTCCCTCTTTATGTCACCAGTGTACAGCCTATCGGATGCCTTTACAGGGATGGTCGGATTAAGAAAGGTAAGATGCCTTTAATTTTTTTTTAAATTAGCACCTGAGCTGTCACTGAGAAAACAAGAGTACTGTGTAATTAATGCAGATGTGACGTTGAACATTATCCAAAGCAGCAATGTTACGTGTTATTATAGAAAGAGGATAATTACAATCTGTCCCCCCCTCTTTTTTCCCCATAACAGGAGACATACTTTTGAGTATAAATAATGTCAATTTGACTTTTCTGAGCTACGATGAAGCCGTCTCGGCCCTGAAGTCAAACGCGGCCTTGCATACGGTTGTGCTGAAAGCCTTGGAAATCGTGGTCCCCGAGAAGGCAACAGAATTTCTGGAGGCCCCCGACAGCAGGGAAAATCGGTTCAGCTGGGCCCCCCTTTGGATCACGTGGCTTGGGCTGCCTAGGTAATTCTGGGGAAGAAGGGGATAGGATGGGAACTGGCTGAGACTTTGGTCTCCCTGCCTTCTGGGGACCTGCGCTCCCTTAAGGTTTTGAGCCAGTTAAGTTGGGCTATGCGATTTATTTTTGTCCATTCCAGATAAAGAGAACCCTTTTGAGAGATAAAGCCACCCAGGGCCTAGATAAAATCTCTGCTAGTAAGCAGTCTGGACTCACAAAGGGGGGATTAGAAACGGAAGGCAAACCGCACACTCTCTGACGGAAGGGGTGCTCTCTTTCAGCCACCTCCACTGCTGCCAAGATATTATCCTGCATAAAAGCAACTCCGAGAGCTGGGGATTCAGCATCGTTGGGGGATTTGAAGAAAGCAAAGGGAGCCAGCCGTTCTTCATTAAGACCATCGTACCTGGAACACCCGCCTTCCGGGACAGAAGGCTGAAGTAGGTGTAGATTACAGACACAGTGATTTTTTTTCTCAAGGCTTGCTCATCTGTCTCCTGTTTTGAACATTGGCGGTTTATTCAAGCTGCACGTGCTGCCCTTTTGCTAAGCAACATCACTGGCGTTTCACACTCTTGAGTTTTGCTGGAATCTGTGTGACCCGAGAAGAACTTTATCCTGATGGCGCTCTTTCTTCTTTCTTCACTAGGTGCGGGGATGAAATTGTGGCCGTCAACGGCATGTCTGCGGTAGGAATGAGCAACGGGGAGCTGATTCCCATGCTGAAGGAACAACGGAATAAAGTCACCCTTACTGTGGTCTCCTGGCCTGGTAGCCTCGTGTAAGATAACAAACTCTTGACGCAAAGTTCCATTTGGGAATTACTTTAGTACCAAGTGACAAAGCTTTGACGCGATGAACTGACCAAGGATTTAGTCCTTCAGACTAAGCCAAACATTCTCAAGGCCTTCACCGGGATTCTTCAGCCAAAGGCAAATTCTGCTTTCTGATGGAGCTTGATTTTTTCGTCCCAGCCCTTTGGCAGGTGGAACCCATCCTCAGTGAGCTACTTGAGTTCTGCCATTTTGATTCTTCTTTTCTCCCTCATGCCCTTCTGTAGGTGAGCTGTGAACCACGGCCTGTGCCTGCCGAATTCCTCTTTCAATCCTGCTCAGATACAAGCGGCACACGGTTACAGGCAACGTTTGTGGGGCTAGGCACCTTGCGATTCTCAGTGATGTTGGTGAATATTTAACTTGGGTGTTGCCTTGAAAGGTATTGACTGACCAACGCAGCCAGTAGCCTTTACATTCCGTCTCGCAGCAGCTTCTAGTCCTTCTCTTGGGAGGTGGAACAGGAATGCAATCTGCAAGCGTGCCCTACCCTGTTCTTCAGTGTGCAAGGTAAAGCTTGTCCTCTGCTGTCTGTTTCTTTTAAGACTGGGCCATTTTTTTTGCTCTTGTGAATGAGCTTCAAGAGTGGCAGGTAGTGTTCCTACAATGGAGGCTCTGAGGAGCCGTCCGGCGAGACTTTGAGTAAACAAGTCTTAGGACCAAAGGAGATGTAACAGAGACAAAATGGCGCACAGGTCCAGGCTGTTGACTCCTTGTCAAACCAAGCGGGATGTTGGTTTGACGGGTCAAGAACGGTGAGCGGACCCTTCCTTTTGTTCACCGTAGTTTTCCTGTCAGGTGACCAGTATCCTCTGGAGGGAAAGAGCTTTTCGAAAAGTGCTTAATTTGAAATCATATCCCAGTGGCGTTGGGAAACCCAGATGGGGGTCTTCCTGCTGTTTTGCATAATTAAGCTGTTACTGAAACGGGTGGGGAAGAGGGAGACCAAGCAGCTGTTCAGGGCAACCATTTCACCTCGTTTTGAAGAAACCAAATCAAGGAATTTACCCACTCCTCCGTTATCCTTTCTCCTTGCCCCACTCTGCAGCCTGCCCCCTTTAATCCGTCATGCAACAGCAAATCATCCTCAGTGTATGTGTGAACTTTGTGTTGAGAGGACTGTAGGTTGGAAGTGCCTTTTGACTTTAGTAAAGTCAAATTCTCTTGCAAACGATCATAACTCCAGGCTGGGTTTCAAAGGCAATGAATTGGCTCGATTGTGTTGAGTCGTAACCCTACTGTACTAGTTCAGGCGCCTTTTATGGTTTCACAGTTTACTGGCTGATTCCTGTACCTTGCCCTAAGCTTGCTTCTGAATGCTTGTGGACACAAAGATGATCGGTCAGTTTTAGCTGAGAGAGCTTCTCTTTCCCTTTTTTCTGCTTTCAGGTACTTGGGCATCTTTTCTTCAGTTTGAAAGCCACAGCCCTCTAGAAAAAAGAAAAACAACCCACCAAACCTTTGTTTGCAGTCTGTGGCGTGACTGTTGCCTTAGCCTTTCTGCAGGCTGGCGTGTTCAGCAAAGATTACCCCCATCGGGGCTTTCTGAATGTCATTGCCAAGCATCCTTAGATGCATGAACTGTTTGTTTTTCCCAGCCTTGTTATAGCCATGAGTTTTGAAATCAGAGTAGCTCTTTGCAAAATGCCAGCCGTGGTCAATCTTCCCACAGTGCAGGCTCTCCAATTAAAATGGGGGGGGGAGGGAAGACACCGGAAGAACTGGAGAGGTCATTAATAACTTTAAATCAAAGGTGGCAACTCCGTTGTTTAATTTTTGTCTGGCTAGCGGTTGCTGGTGCCACAACGGTGATAATTTTGAACCCATGGGTCATTTGTGATGGTTATATATGAGGGGGATGTCCTGTAGCTGGTGCGTGGAAATGAATCCCAGACACCGCATACATATTGAGGAGAGATGGTCATGCGTGAAGGTGGTTTTGAAGGCCATCCACCTTTTCCTGTGCCTGGTGTCCAGCTAAGGATGACTCAGACTGGTTCCAGGCCACAGCCCTTGTGGCTTCTGTAATGTTTGTCCCTTGCAATGATTTTAAAGAGGGACACAAAGAGCTTTTACCAGTGAAGGGGGTGAAAATGGCTGCTTGAACCGGTGTTGTCTTATTTCAAGGTGCCTTTGACAATCACCGGGAAGTCTTGCTCTTGCCTGCTGCATTGCACCAGAGAATGTCTGGAAACGTCTTAGTAGATTTGTCATTGTTTTAATGCAATTTATAAATTATTCTGAAGTTACTGAAAGTGTTTGGGTCTTTCATTCTGACCGCAAGCGGCTGCCTTTCTAACACAGCTGCCCTTCCTTCCAAGGTCTCTGCCCCAGCCGGCTTTCAATCTGTTTTGAATTAGGAGAGAAGACAGATGCAGGAACGTCTCTCATCGAGAACTCATTTTAAGCTTTAACGGTCTCTAATTTTCAAAGCTCTGAAGTACTGCAATACCTCAAGTATCCAGCTGAGATTAAATACCATCTGGTGTGAAGTATTTGTACTCTTCCCACAACCACAGGCAAGTCAGATATATTTTCAAAGAAAGAAAAAAGAATTTTTTTTGCTTTATTTTGCACATGTTTTTTCAGTTACTGACCCCACTCACTGCACCGTCATAGCATACAAACCAAAATACAATGGAATACCGGCTCAAGTTCCCAAGCTTCATACAAACATTCAGACTTGCATGACTACAATACAAAAAAAAAGGATAAAGTTCAAACGACTTTAGGAAGTGTTTTTAAATATTTTTCATACGTGGAATATAATTTTTTAAAAAAGAGGGATGGGCAGAGAAGTGTGATTAGGATCCAAGGGCGAGTCATTCTTGTTTCCCTTTTCAAAGGAAACTGAACAACAACAACAATAACAAAAAAAACCAGAACAAAGAATACAGCTACATGTCGTGTTTTTAGAGCTATGAAAAGTGTGTCCGGTGACTTAACGGCCAAAACTTACCACCTAATTGAACGAGGCCTCTCCTGATTGCAGTAGGGAAGTCGTTTACTTACGAACAAATAGTAGGTAATTCAGTGCTCCTGTTTAGATCACAGTGAAGCCAAAATAAAGACACTCTGCTTTTTAAAGGCTCTGGCTGCCCAGGTAGAAAAGTGCATCTCACTGGAAACCCTTGTCAATCGGTAGAGCGTCCACATGGACCTGGCCATTGGGGGGGGGATGTTCCCTCCGACTTCCTTGCAGGGTTTTCTGGAGAGAAATGAGATTTTCATCGCTGCAAGAAATGGGCATGGGGTGGGAGGGAACGGGACCAGCTTATAGTAGCCAGACAGAGCTGGCCGTCAAGAGGACCTAACGCTCCACTTCTCTGACCGAGCAATTCTCTGGCGCTGTTCTTGTCCTTTTTCAAAAAAAAACCCATAAATGGCCAAGTATCATCCCTCACTCTGAACATGTTCGTTTCCGCTGATGCCATCTCCCATCAGAAGCCATAGGATCTGACGCAGTGGAGTTTGACAACTCGTGGAATATTTCAGTGCTGTGTTTGCAATTGCAGCTGGATCCTTCTCTCTCTCTCTCTGTAAAGTCCCAAGTTCGCATCCAGTTTGACTTTTTATGTGGGCAACCTTCATCTCATCCACTTCCTCCAAAAATATATAGAGAGTCCCAGGAGATGGGCAGCCTAGCTGGAATAGTGCTTTGACTGTTCGGGTTTTTGTTCTGGCGCTGTTCTTGTCCTTTTTCAAAAAAAAACCCATAAATGGCCAAGTATCATCCCTCACTCTGAACATGTTCGTTTCCGCTGATGCCATCTCCCATCAGAAGCCATAGGATCTGACGCAGTGGAGTTTGACAACTCGTGGAATATTTCAGTGCTGTGTTTGCAATTGCAGCTGGATCCTTCTCTCTCTCTGTAAAGTCCCAAGTTTGCATCCAATTTGACTTTTTATGTGGGCAACCTTCATCTCATCCACTTCCTCCAAAAATATAGAGAGAGTCCCAGGAGATGGGCAGCCTAGCTGGAATAGTGCTTTGACTGTTCGGGTTTTTGTTCTTGAGCTGTTTCTCAACCGTTTCTTTCTTGGCTTGCTTGCTTCGGAGACTAGCTATTCCTTGGAATCTTGTCCATTTCCCTCGGGCGCCCCGTCCTCACTCGCCTCCTTCTCTTCCTTGCTGCGCTTGTTCTTTTTGTGCTTGTGGCGCCGGTGGGTTTCCCCCTCTTCGTTGTCGTGCTGTTTGCTGAAATTGGACAACAAGAAGAAAGAGGACGTAAAGATACTTTTTCCTCTCTGGTTTGACAAGTTCGAAAAGAGTGGAGACCGTAGTTTATGCAAAAACAGAATAAAAGTAGTAAATCATCTAGAAGAAACTATGGATAATTTCTTGGTGTAGGAGGTAGTTGACATAACATGAGACACTGTCCATCTAGCTCACTATTGTGACATACGACCAACAGAAACCCTCTAGGGTCTCGGCCACGATCGTTTACCAGCCCAGTCGGCAAATTTCTGGTACTCCCTGGTGGTCTCGCCCAAATATTACGCAAGCCTGATCCTGCTTAATTTGAGAAATCACACGTGTTGAGGGTGGCACAATATACCGAACAGTACATATTAACTGGACAGGAAGCCAGCCTCAAACATTTTGCATCTCTTCTGCAACACAGCTACCTTTGAGGTTGCACAGAACAAATGGCCTAAGAACATAGGGCCTTCCCTAGAAGGCCTTAATGATCCCTCAGGAAAATCAAGCCAAAGGGCATAATTATTGCCAGCAGATTTTTGCCTGGAGCAGGGAATAGAGTACTCCCTTCGGCAAACTTGCATACCTCTTCCTGCAACAAGTGCTGCACCAGAATGACAGACCCTGGCTGGTAAAAACTGCAACCTTCTCTTCCTAACCTCAGTATAGAACCAAAAATTAAATGGGACTCTGCACCTTCTTAGACTGCAAACTGTGCCTGATGTAAGAGAGAGCGCTGCTATAATAGTCTTTGAACTGTTGAGCTAGAAGGGACCCAATAGATCATCAAGTCCAGCCCCTCAAGGAGGCCCAGGGAGAGGGAATCAAACTCCCCACCTCTGGCTAAACCATGGAGCCCTCCAGCAGTTCATCTTCCCAGTGAGCAGAGTTCAGGTTCTGAATTTTCTTGCCTGGTGTCCACTAGAGCAAAGTCTTACCGCCGTGACGATTTGTGTTTGCCGCCCTCCTCTTTGTCTCTGTGCCGCCGTTCCCGGTGACGATCTTCTCGCTCACGGCTGCGGTCTCTACTCCTGCGATAGTCTCGTTCAAAATCATAACTGCGTTCCCGGCTGTAATAACGGTACCTGTCATCATCGCTGAAAAAGAGGGACAGGAAGCAGGGTGAGACAAGAGTGTTGGGGGAGAGATTACTTAGGTGTAAATCAATGGCATTCCACAAACATCTTGGAAGGGGTGTATTAGTTTAGCCGTACACCATTTTTCATCCTTTTCCCCATTGAGGGAGACTCGAAAAAGCAGCCAGTGAAGGCTCTCTGCCTGGGAAAACGGGAGGTTTAAATCATTTAGACAGCCTGTCTGGGAGAACGAAGGCTCTCCTGTTGAGAAAGTATGAAGGCATCGGATTAAAACGTACGTCTTCCCAGTTCTCCTTGAAGAGTACCATTTTAGGCATCGCACCACCTCAGCTGCTGCACTGCCTGTGCCATCTTGACCAAGCAAACCCTCAAGAAGACTCACTTGTTGTATTCACTGGTGGTGGGTGTCCGGTCCCGATCCCTTTCCCGGTCCCTCCTGGAGCTGGAGTATTCCCAGGGGCCACCGTCAGGAGCGCTGGCGCTCTTATCCACCGTAGTCACCCAGGGCGTGTGGGAAGTAGAAATGGGAGGGTAGCTGATGAAACCTGAATCTGTGGGGAAGGAACAGAGCCTTTCACTCCCTCGATGTGGACGGGCCCATGGCCTCAGAAGGGGGCCCAGGCCCTGCCTAGGCCACACAGAGGCTGAACCTGTGACACATGGGATGCGCCCTTTCGTGCGCTTCTATGTGGGTCCTAGATCAAATGACGCCTGGACTATCCTGGGAAGCAAAAAAGTGGAAACTGAGGCTGTATCCTACTTTGGATACGTCATGAGAAGGCAGGATTCTCTGGAATAAGACTATCATGCTGGGAAAGGTGGAAGGCAGCAGGAAAAGAGGAAGACCCAATATAAGATGGACTGACCCCCTAAAAGGAAGGCTTGAATTTGCTAGACCTGAGTCAGGCAGTTGATGACATTTTGGAGATCCCTCATTCCCAAGGTCACCCTAAGAGGGAAGCAAAAAACATTTCCAGTAAATGAATAATACCTTCATAGTAACCTATATGTCATGTATGATTGAGTAGTAGGTCTGGGTTTGTCACAGTAACCTATATGTCATGTATGATTGAGCGTTGGATATGTGCCATCAACCCTCAACCATACGTGACACATAGGTTACTATGAAGGTATTATTCATTTACTGGAAATGTTTTTGTCCTGCTCCTCAGCCCCGAGCAGGTTCCATACAGAACCAGATTGAAGACATTGTCTAAAAGGGCAAGACATGAATGAAAAGGAAGAGCTGGTGATGAAAGAGGATATATATGGCGGTATTTTGGCCAGACTGGTAGAATGGCCCTGTTCATCTTGAGTCACTGCTCTTTTCTGGAACAAAAAGCATGAGCTGTCTTAATGAGCGGCTGTCTCCGCCTTGCTTCCAGCCAGCCTTGGTTGCGAAGAGGGTTTCTCCAAAACACCTTGCAGGGAAAAAAAAACACCACAACCCCCACCCAACCCCCTTGTACTCTTTTGCATATCAGAGACCATACCCGCAAAGTTGAAGATGTTGCTGATTAGGACAGCAGTAGCAATGACCGTATAATGAAAGGAGAACGACCCACCCCAAAGCACTCCTTTCCTGCAGGACCCCTCATTGCACAAAGACAGGCAAGCGAAGGTCCTCAGGCTCACTCACGAGTGCAAGACTAAGAGAGGGGAAATCCGCTCATCCCACTTCATAACCCATCGTCCTGACTCCAGTTAAAAAAGCAGACACCAGAAACTAGGACTGGCTCACACCGGGATCAGGCACATGGCATCCAAAATGTTCTTCTTTGAAATCCCACTTTAACCAAGAAGGCCAACAGAGGCCACCTTGTTCACCTGGATTCCTTTAAGTCTGTACCATAATTTAATTTGTGTGAAGCCACTGTAGCATTCTGTCCCCGCGGGTAAGATTCCTCTGAACAGTTTTCCATTTCTGTGCCGACAACTGCTTATTCGACTTGGCTCAGGATTTTCATCGTAGCTATGGCAACCACAAGAGTTTCCTTGTGAGTCATCAGTAGCTCGTGACACGTGTGCTGTTCCAGTCTAGGTCTCGGTGAACAATCACTTTTGTTGCAATAAAGGAGTTGGGTTCCTTCCCTTGATCATGGACTAATTACTATGGGTTTCAAGTTTTATCCTAGCAGTATTAAACCTCTGCATAGGTAGGATGTCCCAGAGATCTGCTCCTAAAGACTCCTGGATCTTATGAGCTCCTTGAAATCTCCCATCCTTACCAGGTCTTCTGGTTCCAGTACATTCCTATGACACTGCAGACAAATGAGCCCTACCGCCTTCCCTGCACAGATTCTACCTTTTGGCTTCCTCATTTGTCTCCATCTGTTTCACAGCTGTCAGTTCCTCTACGCACGAGGAGGCCGAGGCTCTTCAAGGCTGGAAGAGGATGCTCTCAGCGGAGATATAAACCTTTTTAATTGCTCCATGAATTCCATGAATCTTACAACATGGTCTTGCTGAGGACAACTGGATTGGAAAGACTGCAGAAACTCTGTACCACTTGCAGAGTGCATCCACAGACTTTCCTCTTTATCTCTTCCCTCCTTCCAGAAACCAGAAGGTTCTAGAAGTCTCCTGGAGCAGACCATCTGAAATAGCCCCATGTCCTACCACTGCTGAGACCTCCAGCCAGCTCCCGACATGCCTGCCTCAGTCAATGGTCTGGCCCTAAGGAAAATCTAATCCCGGTACTGCCCACCTCAGGTAGACTCCACTTTGGTTCAAGTTCATTCCTAGAGGATTGTTATTTTGCAAGTAACGAAAATAGCATATTCCTCCCCCTCCCCCAACTAGCTCATACTATGGAAGATGGTCTGGCCCTAAGGAAAATCTAATCCCAGTACTGCCCACCCCAGGTCTACTGGAATCCTGCTTCATGAAAAACTTAACTCCAGCGGTCCAGCCATGATAAACGGTCAGACCAGGGCTCTCTCCAGCAGAAGCACTTCCCTTTTACCCTTCTCTGTATCTCAGCATTGCAAGACATTGAGTCATTATGGCAGTCAGGCACACCTAACTGAGCCACTATGCCAATAAGTCTGATAAGCAGCACTCCACTGGTGATTTGCCAATGCTCTCTGTTCCTCACTGTGAGTCTGTTGGGTTTACAAATACATCTGACCTTGAACACGATAGTTGGCAACCAAGATATAGAGTCCTGAACTGTCATGGTTGCTTTATCTCAGGGTCTACACCTTGCTTGCACTGACCTTGTGCGTTCAGGACAGAAAACGTAGACTCCACTTTGGTTCAAGTTCATTCCTAGAGGATTGTTATTTTGCAAGTAACGAAAATAGCATATTCCTCCCCCTCCCCCAACTAGCTCATACTATGGAAGAAATATTTATGAGACTTTGATGAACAGAATGTCTAATTTTACAAAAAGAGAACATAACATTCTTTATTCCGGAAAAACATTAAATAAAAGAAGGAAATGGGAGTTGCGCGAATGCAAAACATTTTTGACCAATGCAACTATCTTCCAATAATACTTACAACAGATCAGGGCTGGACAGCGTTGCTTTACACCTCTTTGTCTACCCCTACTTTGGCTCAAATGGGTGAATCTCCCTTCCTTGGAGAATGCCACCCCCCTACGGCAAGTCTGTTTGCTGCTCGCCCCACATTCGCTCAGAGAAAGAGGTCACCGCCTAAATCTAAGTGTTAGACCCAACGAACGCAGCCCTGTTGGATCAACAGGACATTGGAAAGTCAACACCTCCCTAAATCCCATTGATGCAACAGGTCTACTCTAGATATGGAGGGGGGCACAATTCGTTTGAGCCCTGCACCTCCTACTTGGTAAACTCAAAGACAGTGTTTGAGACCGATTCCGCGAAAACACCAAAATAACGCCAGCACTGAACTCCCATGTCGGGTACCAAGAATTTAAAAAAAACCAAAAACCTGCAGAGTGAAAACCCCATCACCAGAAAAGTAGAGGAGTTGCATTTTCTTTGGTTCTTCACACATGGCCTGGAATGAATAGAGAAGCTGTGTGTTGGGAGAGATGTGGACAAATTATGCTGAGGGCAGTGATGCAAAATATTGCTGATTTGCAATACCTGCCATCTGGCTGGCAGGTCAAGAATGGTGTTTTTGGCATCTGGTTCCCCCTCAGTCCATGGAGACCAGGCCTTAGGGGCTCGGGTCCATGGAGACCACAGGGTTCTCTCCATTGCGCATGTTGAAATGCCTACTGGATGAACGGGACAAAGAGGTGGGGAAGCCACAACGAGGACGTACAAACTGGGGCAATGGCCATCTACCGGAACAGTGAGGCCGATGGCTCCTCTCAGGCCGTGAAGGAGAAACAGCATGTGGGAAGGTGCATGGTGATGTGTGGGAGGGTGCAAGTGCATGCAGGTGACTCTGAGGCCACATTAGGGATCAAGCGGTTATTGCTAAGGTAAGGAGAGGGAAGGGGGTGAGAGACAAAAGAGGGCCGAGATCTAGCAACAGCAATCCTGGCAGTAACATGGGTTTAAGAGCGACGGAGCCGAAGATCATGGGGGAAGCCACCCTACAACGAAGCAGCCACTGGAAGCACGAAGACCACCACCCTGCCTTGGCAGCGCTTCCGCAAGGCGCTGCTCCCCCTCGGCTTGCTACACTCACGACTCTGCAGAAGACCGCACGGTTGGGCAGCCCGTCATGTCCAAGAGCAGACACCCCACCCCCCCATTGAGAACAATGTCATCATGGGAATGATCCGGGGCTACCCGCCAGGAAGCGAACCGGCAAATCCATGGGAGCCACAAGGACCACATGAGATAGCAATCCATTCCACCCAGCAGCAGCCAAGCCTCTGGAGCTCTCACCTGTAGAGTTGTAACCAAACGGAGGGGGCTGCCTGTTGTTGTAGCCGGCAGGCTGGCTTTGAGGAGAGAGAGAGAAAGAAAGAGAGAAGACAACTGTTAGCAACATCTACTCCCAAGAGAGAGAGAAAGAAAGAGAGAGAGAAGAGAAGAGAAGAACTGTTAGCAACATCTACTCCCGTGGTTGCCAAGCTTAGGCAACCCAGGTGTGTTCTTGGACTGCAACTCCCCAAAACTCCAACCAGCAGAGGTTTCTGGGAGCTGCAGTCCGAGAACACACCTGGGCTACCCAAGGTTGGCAACCACTGACCCAGTCCTTGTCATAGGAACCCGCCTTAGGTTAGGTCAGTGCCCTGCTGCTTCCGGACCAGTACCCCTCTCGTTGACTGCCAGATGCTCTTGCTGGAGTTTCCCCCTTTCTTCCTGGAGATGGTGATTGGGGGACGAAGGCAAGACCTTCTCCTCAGAAAGCCTGTTCTCCATCCCTGAGCTAGGATTCTTAACTTTCATCTAACCCCACCGGAACGCCATCACCACATCATAAAGGAACTGGAAACCAAGAGGAGGAGCATGGAATGGGGTCGGAGCCCACCGGGTTGAAACCCTCCTCAGGCTCTTTATCAACGATGCTGGCTAGCGCTGGCAGGTGTTGCCATCTAACAACAGCTGGAGGAACGGCAAGTTGCCCGTCCTTGTTTTGCACCCTTGAGGTGTCATGAGGAGGAGGGGCTACGTTCCAATTCAAAGGGCTCTAGGAAGCATAGGATCAGCTCATGCCCCCCCCCGGGTGGGGAATTTCAGAAGGGGGCTGTCTCCCGCCTTCCTGAGATCGTTTCCAAGGATGTTCCTGTTTGGTGCCTCCCCTGTTTCAAAACACTCAAAGGATGTGTCCTCCAAGGACCAGAATGACTGGCAGGAAGAGCTTTAGAATGAAATCTAGCTGGTCCTTTGTCACAGCCTTGGGCCTTCAATTCTGCCCCAACTCTGCCCATGGGCTTCTCCCTCGGAATGGGTCTGAAACTGAACACAATCTGGGTTGAGAGACGCTTCCCACTCACTGTTTTGTCACAGCTCTTGCTGAATGGGAAAATGGCAGGGGGGGTGCATCACTGAGAGGCTCCACATCTGTGTCACTTCTCAGCTATGGGTATTTTATGTGTTTATCCATTTATATTATTTATATGCTGCTAAAATTATACAACAATCCTTGAAAGGCTGTCCCTGCAGAGGAGGGGCAGGATCTGTTCTCAATCATCCCATAGTGGAGGGCACATCTCAGAAGTAAACTTAAGGCATGGCTATTTAGGCAGGCTTTCCCTCCTGCTGTATCTTAATAGTTACATTTTCACATCTTGGATTTTTGCATGTTTATTGATTCTACTGTTTTTAAATTTTGTAATGCCGTCCAGAGTAGACCATTGGTCTAGATGGGTGGGGTATAAATCTAATAAAAAATAAAATAAAATAAAAAACCCATCTTAATGGGCTCAAGTGACAGGAAGCCAGATTTCGGTTGAATGTCAGGAAAAACTTCTCAACTGTTAAGAGCAGTATGACAGTGGAACCCATGACCCCAAGATGTGGTGAGTGCTCCAATGCTGGGGGCATTCAAGAGAAAACCGGACAACTACTTGTCAGATCTGCGTTGATTTGAATTCCTGCATTGAGCAGGGGTTTGACCTTGATGGCCTTGCAGACCCCTTCCAATACAATTATTCCATGATTCTAAGATTCTATGATTCTCTTATCAAGACTATAGTTCTAGGATTCTAACCCTTAACTGTTTTAAAATACCAATGAAACATCTATCAAGACTAAAAACAAGATTGAAACCTTTTTAAAACCCCTTTGGACTTAATAAACAAAGCATTCCTGAGATATGTATCTGCTTAAAAGCCTGTCTGGAAAGGAAGATCTTTGCCTGATGATGATGGAGAGGCCAAGAACTGTAGGTAGGTATATGAGTCACACTGAGCGGGTCAAATGACTGGCTGTGTCCCTAATGGAAGCTCGTGGGTTGCCCTGGCTCAGTGGTTGGGCTGATTAGTATCAGGGTCCATGGCATGCAACTAATGAAGGCTTTTTAAAACGAGCTCTCACTTACCCGTCAAGTGTGGGTATCAAAAGCGCTGGTGGTGGAGCCAGAGGTGGGGGAAACAACCCTGGTAAAACAACCAAAGACAGATTTGCAAAACAACAACAAAAGGGGAACATACCCAGAATCATTTATGAGGTTTATGCCTCTGCCGTCTTTCAGAAGGCCAGGGTAGAGCGATAGGTTGCCGGGACTTAGGGCTGCGCTGAGAAACCAATGCCCCCCTCCCAATTAGGTCTCCCCTGTCCTTCCCAGTGGCATGATCAACTCCACGCCTGGGTCCCAACACACCCTCATTGCCCTGTTCATACCAGAAGGGTGGAAGGTCACCAGATATATACAGCGTGGTGAGATTCAAATCTGGGGCTCTCCGTTATGTTTACTCACCATACGAGGAGGAAAATGTGCACCAACCCTCCATGCAAGGAAAATAAAGGCTAAAAGGGCCTTCCATGGGTTGGGAAGTTACGCCTCTTCAGACCCATTGTGTTTATGGGAGGAAAGCAATGAAAGAGGAGGCAGGATGAGTGCACGCCCTGCCCTGTGATGAGTAAATGTGGTGAAGAACACCTTAGGCAGGCCTTATGCCCTGTGACATTTTTCACCAGATGCCATTATGGCAGAGAAGAACCGGCATTAGGCTAAATGCTAGCCCAGGAAGGAGGAAGAAAGCCAGATGCAGGTGAAGTAAAATCAGACTGAATCAAGGACATGAAACTGATGCTCCCTGGCCCTACTCAGGCCAGTTGAGTCAGCTTAAGTCACGTCACAGCAAATGAGAACAGGCCATAGCCAGCCAGTTGGGTACTGGCATTACCATCAGCAGCAGCTAGCAAGTCAATTCAGACTTTCCAAGTTTTTCTAGTTACAGAATGCACAGAAGTGCTTTACCCTTCCCTTCCTCTAGGGGGTGCCCTGGGACGGTGCAGCTGGCCCAAGGCCACCCAGGCTGGCTTTTCTCTCTGGAGATGCACAGTGGAGGAATTGAACTCCAAACTCTGGCCCCGCAGCCTGAGACCTAAACCACTGAGCTCTCCAGCCACCTCAGTACTGGCTTAGCCTTAGATAATTCAGAAGAGGAACGATCAGGACCACGGAGAGCTCCCAATATGTTCAGGTAATGAACTGGGGAAACCTGCTAGCCCTATTCAGCCATTACAGCCTGAAAGTGTATCGTGCTTTAATAGGGGAAGGGTGTAGAGAATGGCCCCTTAAGTGGTGCCACCAACTCCCTCCTGACCCAAATAGCACTCAGACCTTCAAGCACTCTGCGTGAGGAGCTGTTGCTTCCTATTTCTACCTGAATGTGCTCACGCGTCTGGCTGTCCTGATAAACCAACTGCTGTATATACATTCACACGAACATGCAGAAATAAAGTGAAATGTTGCTAGCTGATGGGTCACTTTTTTGGACACCTTAATTACTTTCTACATCAACTTTTAAGTGAGATTTCAAGTCCTAGCATTGAGCCGTGTGGACCCGGCTGGCTTGTAGATGCTGAGCTAATTTACACTTTTGGGGAAGTCTTCTACGAACTGTTGATCACTCAACAACTGGTGTTATTTTGCCATCTATTGAAATTTTCTGCACTTGGAGGAGCATGTAACAAATCAACTGAGTATTTATGGACCTTCGTTCTCCTTATTCAAAGTAAACAGAAGGACCTACCTGGAAGGGGACCCGGGGGTGGCAAACCTGAAGAAAACAAGAGGACAGGTTAGGACAGGGATAATGTACTTCTGTAATTCACCCTAAGCCAGTTTATGAGACCCAAGGGATGGCCGTGTCTACCGGGGGTCCCCAGTTGCAGGTTGGCAATGAGTGGGGCTGACCCTGTGTTTCCTGTTGCTGTTGTTCAGTGAGGCCCCATTGCCTGCAGCTTCTGGCGACCTTATGGAGGAGTGAACTATGGTGTTGTTGTTTTTTTTAATACGAAGGACGAATAAAAACGGGTAAATATTCATCCCTTCGTATTTGTGGGGATCTTTGGAACCCACAAATACGGATCAATGCATATTTGACAAATTGGTTATATTCGTCGGAAAAAGCAATCTGTTTTTATATTCATCCCCATCTCTAGTCTTGAGTCTTTGCTACCAAGTCCCAAGTCTCATGTCCTGAGTCTTATGAAAACAAGCTTTTCCCCCTAGGAAAAAGGGAGGGGATGGTGGGTTCAGAGTTGTGAGTCAAGTTCGGATGAAAAATAAATCCAAGTCAAGTCCAAACCAAGTCATTGATGTGACTTAAGTCTGACTTGATAGCAAGTCCCACGACTTGAGTTTCCCTGGCTTCTGAAGAAGGCTGTTGGTATAAAGAGGTCTGGCTTTTCGGGAGAGCCTTTGAGGTCAGCAAAAGCCAACCCGGAGACCAATGAGGGGTGTTTGGGCAGAAGGTGTGAACGGACAGCAGCTCTTGTATCCAAAGCCAGCTGCTTTCCACAAAACCTTGTGGTTATTCCTCCATGTCACCAAGTAATCTCCGACTTAGGGTGACCCCCGGGAATGAGCCCTCTCCGGAATGCGCTCTTCTCAATGGCCCTGCTCAGCTCTTGTAAACCTCAGGCCTCCAGGTGCCGGGAGACCTGCTGCTGGTTTTGTTGGGACCAACCAACGAGGCTGCACCCAGGAAATGTCTGCAACCCTGGGAGACCCACCTGGAGTGTGGAGAGGCGGTGGGACGGACGTGACCGGAGGTGGTGGAGGATGGAGAAAGTGAGGTGGAGGAGGACCGCTGATCGGTGGAGGCGGTGGGCCCGCTGGGGGTGCAAATGTCTGCTGTTGAGGTGGCTGTTGCGGTTGTGATGGTTGCTGGCCTTGTTGTGAGGGTTGCAACTTGCTCCCATGCTCGCCAAGAACCTTTAAAACAGAGCATTAAAAAAATGCACACAAACGGGGCTTGGGCTTTCTAAAAGCAACCGACCTTCAAAGTACCCATCATCCGTCACCACCCAAGCGAACCCTTGGGCACAAAGGATGTGTGTGACACACAAAGTTGCGTTACACAGTCATTGTCTAAAGAACGCATGGAAAATTGGAGAAGCACAGTTGCTGGACGTAAACATCCAGCTGCTGAAGAATCTCAGCTTTCCTCTAGAAGGGATAAGCAGGCATCTACGAGTCCTTTAACACTTGGAAGTGTGGCCGGTGCCTGCTTGAGCTGCAAAATGCCAGAGGAGCACGATGGGAAAGCAAGCAGTTCTTGTAAAAATGGCAGCCGGTGGGGTGAGGAAGATGGGTGAGCCAGGGACCATCTGGCCCCATCCAGACTGAAAACCGGAAGGTGAGCAGATTAGGATCTGCTTTTGAGTTCTTACCTGAATGGGATTCTCCTCCGAGGCATGCTTGTCACGCCGCCTTCCTTCGACTCTCCGGATGGTGCCGGCCTGACCACCAATCACGTCAATTGTCCCTCCCAGCTTCCTGGTGAGAAAGGGGGAGAAGCCACAACTCGTGGTAATCCTATAAACAGGGAGCGTCTCATCCTGACAGCAAGTCAGCCACTCGGGAAAACCAGTGTTTTAAATATCGAAATGAAGAACTAATAAAGGGCTGATTCCAGTAGTTAGGAAGTGGTAGAGTCAGTGGGTTGGAAAACCTGAGTGCAGAGTCAGGGGCCTAGGGCGCAGTGGTGATTTGAACTCATGACCCCTGGCTCCATAGGTGCTCCAACCCACTGACTCTACCACCTCCTAACTACTGAAATGGGATCGCCAGAGTGGATGCTGTGCCAGAGAACCACCACAAGAAAGGGGGACTGGAAAACCACATCTGATAGCCAGGCGCTCCAACCCACTGAGCTGTAGCAGAGCCAGAATGGCCAACCCCTAACTTTGAGAGGACAAAAATGAAAGAAGACAAGCAAAAGGAGGAAAATACAACATTGGGTCAAGTTATGATGGGATCCATCTAAGCCACGTTGTCTTCCCCTGTCGCAACAGTTCCTCAGGTTCTTAGGCTGAGGTGAGATCCTTCAGAGAAGCCAAGCACAGATCCTGGAACCTTTTATGGGCAAAGCATGAGCTCAAGCCTTAACCTATATACCAATATTCTCAGCACTAAGAAAACCCGCCGGGGAATGGTTAGGAAACAAGGTATGGGATCAAACCGAGACAAGAGGGGTGGGCAAGGATTTGGCATAAATGTACGCATGAGACAAGAAGCTCAAGAAGTGTTTTGTGGTACCTGTTTGGGGGAGGCCCGGCCTTTATCCGACCACCTACTAGGGCCACAAAATCCGTCTTAAAATCCATTTTAATGACATTGTTCTCCGGCTCTTTTTCGGCATTTCCTGTTCTTCCTTGCTGAACCTACACCAAGACGGGAAAAGAAAGAGACTACCAATCATGTCTACCTTCAGTCTGGAAAGGGTGTACTTGAGCCTCCCCCTGATTGTCACCTTTGACATGGAATTCCCTCACGGTGGCCTCAACACTTTGGACTGTTTCGTGGTCAATTGGAAAAAGCAAAAAGAGCCCTGATTCAGACAATAATTACCCATCTGCACTAAGACACTGCCCATCCCTAAGGTTTATTGTACATCTAATAATATACAAGAAATGTTTCTATATTATTACACAATAATGTCCATTAATGTTTGGTGGCAGGAAATCTGCAAACTGAACTCACCAAGGTATGAAACCAGGGCTCATTGAATTAAAAGGAACTTTGTAAATCAACATTTATGCATTTCCTAGGTATAGTTCCCCCCCCCAACTACAAACCCCATGATTCTCCATTCTGGGAGTTCCACCAGACCTACACTAATCTACGGACACCTAAATACCTACAAACCCCATGATTCTCCATTCTGGGAGTTCCACTTGACATGCTGTCATGTACAGACACCTAAATACGGCTCACCAGAGAGAAAGGCCTAAACTGGAAGGCTTCGTGGACAAGCTAGGCCTAGCACTGCCTGACTTCCTGTTCAGAAAGGAAGCTGCTCAAGAACTAGAGCTGGGAGCTTCCTTTCTGAACAGGAAGTCAGGCAGTGCTAGGCCTAGCTTGTCCACAAAGCCTTCCAGTTTAGGCCTTTCTCTCAGGTGAGCCCTATTTAGGTGTCTATACATGACAGCATGTCAAGTGGAACTCCCAGAATGGAGAATCATGGGGTTTGTAGTCCAAAACACCTGCAAATCCCACACCTAGTATTTTCTATTGTGCCAACCAATGTAGTCAAGTTGGATGGAGATCCAAGGCCTCCCAGCATGAGTGCATCCAACTCAATTTCTTACCGTGATCTTATTTTCTGTACTGACAGGGGCGGATGGCTCCAAGCCAAGTTGAAGCCGACGCTGCTTTTCACAATAAGCTTTCCATGTTTCTTCGTTGAACCCGTAGTTGAAATAGTCGGAAAGGTCAGCACCTAGAAATGAATGGATGATCTGAAAAGAGTGTTTGAGGCAGAACAGAGGCATATTCAGGAGAATAAGACGGCACGCTGAACTAAGCACATGAATATTGATGCTCTAATCTGCAGTGAGAGGTTTGGGGGGATGAAGCCTACAGAAGAACATCCCTGTTTTGCTCATGGCTGGAGAGATACATGTTGGCGCCACCTGTGTCTGCAGAGAAGCAAATCCCCGTGAGTCTTGCCCCCTTCTCTGATTTGTCACCAGAGGTGATGCTCTGAGTCACAAGCTCTTATTTCCTGGTAGAATGCAATTCCTGGTGGCTTGAAACCCAGCGTTGACCTCAGTGCCTCCAACCGACCTAACTTTTTACCATCAATCTATAAAGCTCATAAACGTGCATTATTATTATTTTTTTATATTAATAGTTCATCCTAACAAAAATGCTGCCCGATCCAGGCCTTTGGGAGTCTCGATTTTCTTTATTTCTTAATGACTGTCCTATGTTGAAGAAACAAAACGTAAATAAATAAATAAATAAATAAATAAAGAAAGAAAGAAAGAAAGAAAGAAAGAAAGAAAGAAAGAAAGAAAGAAAGAAAGAAAGAGTGTAAAACGTGCTGTTTTATACAATGCCCCATAGTGCTTAAAGCACTCTCTGGGTGGTTTACAAGTTAATTAAACAGGCAACACACTGCCCCCCGGTAGTCAATTTAGCAACCTCAGAAGGACGGAAGGTTGAGTGAACCTTGAGCCAGCGACCTGAGATTGAATCCAGATCATGAGTGGAGTTTTGGCTGCAGTACTGCAGTTTAAGCACTGCACTCCCCCCCCCAAAAAAAAACCCAGGGAGAAAAACAGCACAGCAGGGAGATGTACATATACAGAAAGTAAATGATGGGCAGATTTACAACTGGCTCTTGCTTTCCTCTCCAGTGAAAGTTTTAAATAAGGCACCAAAAACATTCCTGATTTCACTGCTACCTTTCCCTGACCAAATAAGCAGCTCTTGTGATTCACAGCTGTTTCCCCCACTTCTCAGGCACTGTGCAAGGGTAACTGCTTTGTCTGTGTGGCTTTGGGACAGCTTTGTCCTTAAAATCTGCTGATACTCTGGATAAGGAAGAGAGCCTGTGTCCCCTTAACTCAGCAGCTCCACTGATTTAAGAGTAGTCCCTGCTGATTAATCTGTTAGAGACCTAGTTGATTTAATCGCTGGTAAAAGCACGACACGCTGCTAAAATCCCTCTGAGCTACTTCTGATATTCAGTGAAGTAATTAAGAAATTGTAAGCTACAAAGTAACTTGTTAAAAATGATGAAAAACTCAAAAGTAATTATTTTTGCAAGACCTAAGGCACAACTAAGATCTGTTCCAAAGTGTAATGTATTGAAGGATGATTTCACTCCTTTTGCAATGTAACTGTAATGGATTTCGAATTATGGGGTATGTCTAACTTCACTCCTTAGATGCATTTTGTCCCCCAGACCAGAGGCATATCGCTTTCATAACTAGAAGGTGATGAAGCCTTATTCTCCTAAAAACACGTTTTTAGCTGCCACGTTTGCCCAATCAACTTGCAAATGAATTCTGCTTATCCCCAGATGACCAATCACTGAATTTAAAACAAGGCAATTTATAGCTCACGGAGTTCTAAAACCTTATGTTAGGAAAAACAAACATCTATTATCGATTAAGGGAGCTGTATGTTTAACTGCAATGTCTTATCTGCTTTTAGCTGCCAATATATGTATTTTCCTGCACTTCTCAGACTTTCCTTGGCTTATATCAAGAGAAGTCACCCAAATGAAACCCAAGACCATCCTTATGGCGTCCACACCAAAAACTGTATGCAAACAGCCCGTTTCAATGTGCCAAAAATGCTTGTTACCAGTGACTTATGTTCTGGAACATAAAATTAAGGCAAAACACATCTACAGGCCATGCGTCAATTCCATCACCCGGCCTCCCCCATATCCACTCCACCGCTGAAATGGGGATGAAATGAGGAACATAAAGAAATCTGCTGATAATATTTACCACAAGAAACTCTGAGGCCCCACCTGGTTTCCTCCACGGTTTGTCTTCAAAGGACTCTAAATCCACTTCGATTACAGGCAAGCCGTTAATATTTCCTGCAGCTTCTAAATCAATTCCTTTGGGCTGTGACTTCGCTTTGAAGAAACAGAAAGAGATGCTTAGTGTTAATATTTTGCTCCTGATCCATTCATCGGGAAAACAAATTGCTTAGCTTAAAAAAAAAACACAACCATAAGAAAACAATCATAATTACCCTCCCGTGAATTCAACCCTGCTGTTTGAATGCTTCTAATTTGTGAGGTTCACCATGAGGTTGTTCATCAACATTTTAATCTGTTTTCTCTCCTTTACTCATGTGTGTGACCATTTGGCATATTGGGTGTTTTACTGGGATATATAGCAGAAAAAAATATATAAATTCAATAATATTATTGTAACTTCCAACTGCTGATGGAATTATTATTTGTTTCACCCTCAAAAAAAAAAAATACCCCCAGAGTTACCATTTTAATGACTTTAAAACTGGCTTTAAAATGAGAAACAGAACAATAGAAAGCTTTTAAAAATATAAATGTTCTTCCTGGAAGAAGTTAGTGTTTCATTTCTAGCACGGTAAGCCTGCGGTGCTTTAGTTAAGTTGATTGGAGGACATGAGATATGAAAGATACTGAAAACCACTCATAGGGATGGCAGTCAGGTGCAAAGATAGAGTGCTAATGAGTCTTGGGCTATTGAGCTACTGGCCCCTTCCGTTACTGCAGCCATAAAGAGATCTCAGAAGCTTAGTGTCAAGTTTTCAGCTAAGTGCAGTTTAGTGTCACAAACTAGGATTCAAAGTTGGCTTGTTTCACTAAAGCACAACCAACTAACCATGATTCATCTAAGTTTGGATACAACACTAAACTGTGGTTAGTTACTAAAAGAACCAAGAGCTTCCAATGTTCTTTTTGGGACCATACTAGAAGAGAGGATGCAGTAGGAGCTGATCAGCCAGATGTTAATTCACAGTATTGTAAACCACGATTACTGTTACACATAAATGCCGCCCAACAGTTCATTTTTTTTTCAATTTGGTTTTCCAGTGTGGTCTGTTTTATCTGCTGTGCTGAAAGAATGTCAAAGATTTAACCTGACAAGAACTGGGCGTAGCAAGGAAGATAGTCCTTCTCTCTGCCAGGCTGCCTGAGAGTTTAGGCAGATGAAGAACACTCTGAAACGGTAGAAGATAGACAACCACATAGGAAACGAGAGTTTAGGCAGATGAAGAACACTCTGAAGAAGATAGACAACCACATAGGAAACATTTAAGAAGCATCCTCCCCTTTAGCATGGAGAGGACAAGACAACTGGCAGAAACCTGAAAGCAAAGCTGTCATCACTGATCTATAGGGCCCCTATTTCCTCTTCCTTAACACTTTTATTTACTTTCCTGATAAGGAGGAGTTTAAGAAAAGTCACCCTAGAGAGTGTTTATGTCTCTGAAAAATGGCCAAGCCAGAAGAGATTTACAAGAGTTAAATGAGTGACATCTTCACTCAGCATTTATGTAGCTTACGGGGAAAAAAAGAGAGTCAACATCAAATAAACAAAAGCAATATTAATACCTGAGGCAGGTGCTCCATAACCCCGACCCGTTTTTAGATTCAGATTCATAGGGGTGCCCCTATGGAGTGGGGAAAAAAAAGGATGTAAACACACCGGCAGCAGACAACTAGACTTTGCCTCCACAGAATACCACCTACATCTTGGACTCAAGAAGTTGCAGGACATGGGCAAAGAATAAACCAGTTGAGGGGGGGAAACCAAGAAGAATTGTGAGCAACAGAGAGCCTATTCAACTTGGTCAGACGGGGCTCATGACCCAGTATGGGAAGGGTGACCCCTTTAATGCCACCCCACTGGTGGAGGGCCAACGGTAGAGCTTGGTACAGTGGTCCAGAACAGAAGTGGTACTGCACAGAATCCCAGATTCTTTCCTTGGCATATAGAGGGTCTGACACGACACTCCCTTTGTTGAAAGGCAGATGGCGATGCTTGGAAAAGTTAATCTTCCAGGAGTTACTATTCATAAATTTCATATTTCCAAGTTCAGATAGATGGGACCTGTTTGTATCACTATTATCTGTTGCTGTAAAGAATCCTCTTGAAAGGGGGCCAACTTTCCTGGTAAGGAGACGGCCCGGCTCTGGTGGGTGGGTCCAACTGTCCCAGCCACCTGTGGTGGCAACATTCATATTTATCTCCTCCAGGAGACGAATACAAATATCACCTCTCCGGTGATGGTATAAAAAGGAAATGCAGTTCTGGAGACATTAACAGAAACAACAGCGCCACTCTTTTCTGTCTAGATTAGACCTTACCTGGAATATTTATTTATTTGATTTATACCCCGCCTATCTGGCCCACCGGATGTGCGGTTTCATCGTATAGCGAAGCGCTCGCTATGCGAGGCACCACTGTATTATCTATTGCTGTAAAGAGTCCTCTTGAAAGGGGGCCAACTTTCTAAACAGAAGGTAAGTTTTATTGAACACACTAGTAGGTGTTCTGTGGCTGAGCAGGGATTTGAACCCAAACCTCCTGAGCCTGTCATATTCTGGATCTACCTGCACCGCAGCGATTCTCTTGCACAACGCTAGAGCCCCAAATCATCTGCCAAAGCAGATTGCGGGGAGAGCCATCCTGTTCATATATTACAGCCGAAAAGCATGGAAGGGTTTCGTTTGTGATCATGGCAAGAAACGAATTTCTATAAGCCAATCAAGCGTCCTCTTTGGGAACTCAGCTAGCTTTTGGAAAGACAAATCGCTTCACCAGTGCCTTAGCCCTCCCTGAATCCATGACGGACGGAGGGGAAAGTAAAGACATCACGCTAAAGAGCAAAGCCAAGAGTTGGGTTCAGGAACAGGTGCATGCCTACATGTAAGACGGTGCTCCAGTCTTGATGTTGCCGATTGTAACTCGAATGTCATCATCATCGCTGTCGCTGTCGTCCTCGTCCTCTTCTCTGCTCGGAAGGACCTATCACACAGACACAACAGGGCACGGTGTGAAATCAAATCTTCAAAACACAAGAGGGAAGGAGCCTTGACTACCAAATGACACCATGATACAATAAGGACCAAAAAGAGGAGAAAAAGAGATGAATATTTGGCCCAAATGTCTTCATTTAAAGCTGAATTCTAGGTTAGGATGAAAAACCGGAATCATCAAACAAAATCAGCTGCCTATGCAGAAGTTCCTCTGTAAGACTTTATAATCTCTGTGGTTTGTAGGATTCGGCATCTGGTATGCACTTGCTGATTCTTTTCCTGCCTTTTAACCAGGTGATCAAGGCAATGTTTTTGTTCTTATTTGTGTTTATGTTTGCATTCTGGTTGTTTTACTTATTAGTGATGGATATTGCAATTTTGATAGATATTGCAGTTTTGATTTTTGTATAGAGGACCTATCACACAGACACAACAGGGCACAGTGTGAAATCAAGTCTTCAAAACACAAGAGGGAAGGAGCCACCTGTCTTTTAAGGAGCCTTGACTACCAAATGACACCATGATACAATAAGGACCAAAAAGAGGAGAAAAAGAGATGAATATTTGGCCCAAATGTCTTCATTTAAAGCTGAATTCTAGGTTAGGATGAAAAACCGGAATCATCAAACAAAATCAGCTGCCTATGCAGAAGTTCCTCTGTAAGACTTTATAATCTCTGTGGTTTGTAGGATTCGGCATCTGGTATGCACTTGCTGATTCTTTTCCTGCCTTTTAACCAGGTGATCAAGGCAATGTTTTTGTTCTTATTTGTGTTTATGTTTGCATTCTCGTTGTTTTACTTATTAGTGATGGATATTGCAATTTTGATAGATATTGCAGTTTTGATTTTTGTATAGGTGTTATGTCTGCTTTTTTAAAAAAATCGTGTTGGTGTTATTCTTCTATGGTTTTGTTTCATTTTATTGTAAACCGCCCAGAGTGGCCTTGCACCCAAACGGGCAGTATTAAAATCTTAACAAACGAAACAAACATGTAAACCGCCCAGAGTGGCCTTGCAGCCAAACGGGCAGTATAAAAATCTTAACAAATGAAACAAACGAACAAAATAAACCCCGCTTCCTTCCTCGTCCTCCTCTTTCATCCACTGGTGTTACGTTTATGCGAACGATTCATTCGATATCAGATACGAAGCAGAGGAGGGTAGAGGTGGTTTGCCCATCCACTGGAAGCACCAGAAAATCCAATAAAATAGAAACACACAAATTGTTGAACGCACGGCAGCCCTGACTTCATAGAACAGACCATAATATTTTACCAACCAACTGAAGAGCCTCCCAACTTGTCCGGAATCTTTCATTTCCACCACCACCTATCTTTCAGAGTATAGGAAAGAACTGGATTTACCTGCCGCAACAGCTCTCGGTCTTCAGCGATAACCATCCTGTTCTCCTTGGATACATCTTGCAAAGGGTGGGAGTCTCCATGTCTGGTCGATGGAAAGCACAGAGAGAAGAAGAGCCCATATTGGCTTGTGCCATAAACAAATCTCAGCTGCAGTGATCCACCATTCTGTCCAGGTAACCCAGTCGAGAGAAAATCCAGGTCCCTCCCACCCTCCACTGCTTTCTGTCTTCTACACAAGCAGAAGGGACCATCACCACAACCATCATCCTAGCCATTCCCCCCCCTCCCCAGACCCCTCTCATCCCCCTCAATGCTCAAGGGTGACAAATGCTAGAATGGCTATCTCCTGGAAAGGCTTCAGGAATGGGAGTTTAACTCTGCCAAAAAGCCCTGGGCTCTGGTGTACCTTTTCCAGGCAGAAAAATCATTTTAAAAATGCCAAGGTTGGGCAACAATTTTTAACAGTTTTCAAAAGGCAATGGAACAATATTTTACTTTTGACAGTCCTTCCTGGAAAATGCCAATTTATGATTTTTCAGACCTCGGAGAATTACATATATGAGTTTGTATGTCTACTCTCCCCCCCACCCCCATATGTAACTCAGAATAAAAAGCAAAGATTTACCCAGGAATCGGTCCATCTTCTTGCTTACCATTGTCATCTGAAAACAGAAGGGAACAATGTGCTCAAGGCAAACAAAAAAGGATAAGAAACTTTCAAGTGTACATTTTGGTGCATTATGTTTTCCCCTTGATCTCACCAACTCCATAGAAGGCAGTGTTAACAATACAGGATACTGAATTTCACACACACACCCCACTCCCAGTTTTGCTAATCTGTTTCAGCAACAAATCTAAACATACAGAAAGTATTCCAACCACTTTTAAGAGTAAACCATTTCGTTCCTTGTGAGCTTTCCTGGATGAAGTCCACTTTTTCAGACCAGCGGAGTAGAAATTTAAGTAAATCAAGATGGAAAGGACCCAAGGGTGGTCTCATTGCTCACTCTGATGGTCTTTCCTTCAAGCAACTATAACAGTTTCAACACCGGTCTATAGTTCATCCTACTGTAGACTCGTCTCCGACCAGTCCTTGCTCCACCTTGTAGGATTAAACCCCATATATATCAAGTTCCAGAAATCCTTTCTTTTCTTCCCCTGAACCTACACTCAGTACCACTGTTCTCATCTAGGGTTAGGCAGGCAAAGCATTGGCTTCCGTATGCAGCCACTTTCTATATCCCAACCTAACCACTTCCCGGCACACCTGCAGAACATCCTCTTTGCCCCCTCTTCAAATCGTCATAACCTGGGGACGACGGCCGTGCTGGATCCAGCCAGAAGCTCCTTCATCGGGCAGGTCTGGTCTCTCTTCTGTCCAACGGCCTGGCCAATCAGGAAGCCCACAAGCAGGGGGTGGCCTCAACCCCTTCTCCTGCTCCCCTTCACCAGCAGCGGTTCCTGACCAGCCTCTGACAAATCTCTCCTCCCACCCAGTGCCTGAGGGTTCAGGATGACCCCCTGGATCCCACCCCCCTCCCTGTTGTTACTTCCCCAACGCCTTTTTTGCCCTTGTCCCCCTCTTCCATCTTTTGGCCCACCGGTCAGACGGCAGATGGGCAACCTCCCTGGGGCAGAGACCCACCCTCTTTGCTGGACTCCCATGCAGGCCAGCACCCTGCCCGTGCCCTCCCATCCCCCCGAGAAGGATGCTTGGTGGCTGGCCTCCTGGGCCGTATTGCTCTCTGAGCGGCCTGGGTTGCATCCCTTGCTTCCGTCTATCTCCTTTGCACCACCCTTGCGAACAATTAGTTCTGTTTCCTTTCCTTACAGGAAAGACAGGAGAGGCAGACAGTCACCCCTCCAGCAGCCCCCTCTGGGGTGTGAGGGCAAGATCTGAAGCCCTGCTGGGATTACTCTCCACACCTGCCCTTTAGAAGTGAAGAGGAGGCCGGGTCTTCTTCCTCAGGGCTCCTTCTCACTGGGAAGCCCTGCCTTTTGGGGTTCTCTCGCTCTCTGTGCACCCCACAAGCTCTCTTCTTCTCCTGGGGGGGGCAGGCCTTTCCGACGTTTCCACCCCAAACCTAAGATTTCATCCCACCCTGTTCTGGGGCCTCCCTCCTCCTCCTCCTCCTGCTGGCATTTCATCCTCCCAGCATCCTTCCCCAGGGCCTCGGCAAGGCACCCCGAGACCTCGGAGAGCAGCAGAGCAGCCACCTAGAAAGCCCGCGGCCATCCTCCCATGCCCGGCCTCCGCTGGAAGCCGAGGGCCCCTTTCCACCACCTGGGCGCCCCCCTCTCTTCTCGCCCCCCCACTTCCCTCCGCCGGGCGGACCGCGGGGGAGCCAGGCGCGTCCCGCACGGAGGCCCCACTCCGGCCAGGGGGAGGCAGGCCTGCCGGGGAGGGGAAGGGAAGGGAGGCGGATCGGTGCCGCCGAGCGAGACCCAGGCGATGCGCTCCTGGGAGGCGGGCGACGCCGAGGGGGCTCCGCCTCGCGCCTGGCTTTCTCTCCCTTGGCTGCTCCAGAGAGAGTCTCTCTGTGTATGTGTGTGTGCGTGTGTGTGTGTGTGTAAAGGAGGGAGGGAAGGGGGATCGATCCTGCCCAAAGACCCGGGGCGGAGGGACCGATCCCCAGCGCCTCTTGGCCCTCGCCCGCCATCCTTCCCAGGCAGGGGAGGCGGAGAAAGAGGCGGCGGCCGGAGCCCTTCCCGCCGCCCTCGGCAGGGCTTTCCCGGCCTCGCCCGCCCTCCATCTCCGGCCAAAGGGGGCGGGGCGGGAAGCGGGGCCAA